AATGCCAAAGTCGGAATAGACAACACTGGATATGAAGATATTATGGGACGACATGGACTGGAAGAAAGAAACGAAAATAGAGAAAGATTTGCGAATCTATGTGCATTCAACAAATTGATCATAGGAGGCACAATATTTCCACACAAGCGTATACACAAGGCTACATGGATCTCACCGGACCACACTACAGAGAACCAAATAGATCATATTTGCATCAACAAAAAATTCAGAAGGACAATGGAAGATGTGAGAACCAGGAGAGGTGCTGACGTAGCTTCAGATCACCACCTAGTTGTGGCCAATTTAAAACTGAAGCTAAAAAAGAACTGGACAAGTGGACAAACAGCACTACAAAGGTTCAATACAGCCTTCCTTCGAGATACTGACAAACTCAATGAATTCAAGATAGCTCTCAACAACAGGTTCCAAGCCTTACAAGATCTACTGAAAGAAGAAGAAACTAGTATGGAGGACAACTGGAAAGGCATCAAGGAAGCATTGACTTCAACGTGTCAAGAGGTTCTGGGTCCAAAGAAATACCATCATAAGGAATGGATCTCTACAGAAACACTGGACAAGATCAAAGAAAGGAAGAACAAGAAGGCAGCAATAAACAACAGCCGAACACGAGCAGAGAAAGTCCAAGCACAAGCTGAATACATAGAAGCAAATAAACAAGTGAAGAGGAGCATTAGAGCCGACAAGAAGAAATATGTGGAAGAACTAGCAACGACGGCAGAAGAAGCTGCTAGAGAAGGAAATATGAAACAGCTTTACGATACAACGAAGAAACTAGCAGGAAAATACAGTAAACCAGAGAGACCGGTCAAAGACAAAGAAGGCAAGCCAATCACCGAAATTCAACAACAGCGGAACAGATGGGTAGAATACTTCGAGGAACTCCTGAATAGGCCGGCTCCAATGAATCCACCGGACATCGAAGCGGCACACACAGATCTCCCCATAGACGTCAACCCACCAACGAAGGAAGAAATCAGAATGGCCGTCAGACAAATCAAGAACGGGAAAGCAGCGGGTCCGGACAACATACCAGCTGAAGCACTGAAGTCAGACATCGAAGCAACTACAAACATGCTTTATCTTCTATTCAAAAAGATTTGGGAGGAGGAACAAGTGCCGATGGACTGGAAAGAAGGGCACCTCGTCAAGATTCCAAAGAAAGGAGATCTGAGCAAATGTGAAAACTATAGAGGCATTACACTGCTGTCAATACCAGGGAAGGTCTTCAACAGAGTGTTGCTGAACCGGATGAAAGATGCAGTAGACGCCCAACTTCGAGATCAACAAGCTGGATTCCGTAAGGATCGATCATGCACAGACCAAATTGCAACACTACGGATCATCGTCGAACAATCAGTTGAGTGGAACTCATCACTATACATCAACTTCATTGATTATGAAAAGGCATTTGACAGTGTGGATAGGAGGACGTTATGGAAACTTCTTCGACACTACGGAGCTCCTGAGAAGATTGTCAACATTATCCGGAACTCATACGACGGACTACAGTGCAAAGTCGTGCATGGAGGACAGCTGACAGATGCATTCCAAGTAAGGACCGGAGTCAGACAAGGCTGTTTACTCTCTCCCTTCCTCTTTCTTCTGGTGGTCGACTGGATTATGAAGACCTCGACATCTGAAGGAAAACACGGAATTCAATGGACAGCTCAGAATCAATTAGACGATTTGGACTTCGCAGATGACCTAGCACTCCTATCACGTACACACGAACAGATGCAGATGAAGACAGCCAGTGTAGCAGCAGTCTCTGCATCAGTAGGCCTCAGCATACACAAAGGGAAAACCAAAGTCCTCAAATTCAAAGCGGAATACAACAACCCAATCACTCTTGATGGCGAAACTCTGGAAAATGTAGAGTCCTTCACATACCTAGGAAGCATCATCGATGAACAAGGAGGTTCAGATGCAGACGTAAAGGCAAGGATTGGCAAAGCAAGGACAGCATTCCTACAGTTAAAGAACATATGGAACTCAAAACAACTTTCAACCAATATCAAAGTGAGAATCTTCAATACCAACGTCAAGGCAGTTCTACTGTATGGAGCTGAAACTTGGAGAACTACAACAACAACCATCAAGAAGGTACAAGTATTTATAAATAGTTGTCTACGCAAGATACTCAACATCCATTGGCCGGATACCATCAGCAATAGCCTTCTGTGGGAGAGAACAAACCAACTTCCAGCTGAAGAAGAAATTAGGAAAAGACGATGGAAATGGATAGGACATACATTACGCAAATCGTCAAACTGCATCACGAGACAAGCCCTAACTTGGAATCCTGAAGGGAAGCGAAAAAGAGGAAGGCCAAAGAACACATTGCGTCGGATAATAGAAGCAGATATGAAAACGATGAATTACAACTGGACGCAGCTAGAAAGGATTGCCCAGGACAGGGTTGGATGGAGAATGCTGGTGAGCGGCCTATGCTCCTTCACGAGGAGTAACAGGCGTAAGTAAGTAAGTAAGTACATTCCAGAAAAGCGCATTGAATATACTTCTTACCCTTTTCTAAGTTGAACAATATATTGTTATGCAGAACAGCAACAGCACCTAAGTCGCTTTTCTGCATCTGTAAGCAAACTGATATGGATCAATATGATCTTTTGTCGCAGGCTGAAGTGGAAGTAATAATAATTTTTCCAATGTTTTTAAGAAAGGTGAAGTTATTGCAATAGATCTAAATTTCACATTCTTATCACCAGATACTTTCTTGGGTACGGGGAATATCTTCATCATTCTCCACATTTTTGATGTGAGATTAGATGAGCAGGATCTGTTAAAGATAGTCGTGAAAGGATAACATAAGACGTCAGCACATTTCTTGGAAAAGAGATTTGGGATACCATCAGGTCCTAAATATCGTACATCAGTTCCGGTAAAACTAGGAACATAGTTATTCTTTAAACTTGTGAATAAAGAGAGCATTACATCTGTAGAATGGCGTACAAAAGACTTATTTGAATCGCAAACATTCAACTGGTTATTGCTTCTAAACTGTCTGTCACCTGTAAGTTCTTTAAAGAGTTTTCACATACTCGGGGAGTTTTTGCAAGACAACAGTTTTTGAGTAAACATAGATTTGAGACGTCTAATCTCTGGGTTTATCAGACCATTTAGCTTACGAACTTCATTAGAGTTCTTCTCCATGAACATTCCTTTTTTCACCCTCCGTGGTCGTTTTAGTTGTGAAGATGTAAGTCGACCAAAACTTAGAAAAATGGTTTCAGCGGGAAAACAAATATCAAACAAAATTTAAGATAACAAGTGATAACGTCAGTAGTGATTTCCAGTTAGTCATCTATAAATAATTCTCAGTTAGTCGTATGAAATATGTTTTTCAGATTTCAGATATTTTCAGTAATTCCTATATTTGTCTGTCTTGGTTTGATGTAAGATTGTACACTTCCCATGCTTTCCATATACTTTAGGTAGAACATGAATTATACATTGATCCGAGATAGACAATAAAGCACATTTACGAGTCGCATATGCACCCACATCATTATTGAAAACGAAGTCAAAATGAGCATCTAAACGGGTAGGAAAATCTATTGCAATTTGGTGACCTAGTGACGTAAGGAAGCTACAGTCACATGTATTGAAATTACCACATACAACTGAAAGTGAATCACTGAGGGCAGTAACAGTGAACGCAGTGAATTCATCAGTGAAAACAGATAGCGCAGATGATGTGCAGTCTGGAGTCATGTAGATATTGGTAACATAAGCATATTTGTATTTATTAAGATGTTTTGGACGACTTCCTAGAGTTAGACAGTCGATAAAGTCATTTGAAAACTTGAAACACGCAAACGAAGATCGACATCAGTTCATGTTTACAAACGTAGCTACACCGCCGCCACACCTCTTTTTATTGCTTGATCGATCCTGACGATAAGTGTCAAAAAAAACCTAGTGTCACTAGGCAGTCGTCCTGTACATAGCTTAACCAAGATTCTTGAGTTGTGATGACACCACAATTACGATACATATTTTGACTTAGTAGGAATTGAAGATCGTCCACTCTGTTGACTAGTGACCGACAGTTGGAATTTAGCAGCACGGTAATCTAAGTACGATTAATATTCATTCTCTTTAACGCATATTGCCAACCACCGCGATGTCTTTTATAGTACTTTTTTGGAACTTGTGCAGCGAAAGGTTTTAGGCTTTTCGTAAAAGCACCTGTATATGTTGTGCGATTGATGGACATAAATAAGACATTAAAAAAAATTAAAAAACAGATAACTTGTTGAAATAATTAGATGGCAGAAACAGGTAGATCAGATATTCAAGCAGGCCGCTGATGGGCCAGATATCACTATCCGCACATGTATCTCAACAACATCGCAAATGCTACTAGGTTGTTCTTCTACTGCATGCCATCAAAAAGTGACCAATCTAGTAGGATAGGAATTTGCGAACTACGAGTCGTGTATGCATTTTTAGCTGACTTAATTTTCGCTATCAGTACTCATGTTAACAGTGCATCCCTCCTCAAATTGCTTGCTCAACAACGCTAAAAGACTGTTATCCCCTTGCATCACCAGCTTCTTACTCAGACAACAGAACATACACAGTTTGACTTCGAATATTTGTTTAAGCAGTGTGATTCAAACAGGTACACATACCACAGAATTAATTTTGGGACAAATCGCAATAAAATTATTTCGGCGAAAATAGAAAACCTCTTGATGGTCAAAATTCCGAGTAGAATCGATTATGTTGGTAGGATTTTGAAGGGAAAAATTGATAAAATACACAGGATGATCACAGATTTTATAATAATTTAAAAACATGAATACCACAGAGCGGACTCAAAGAAAAATCGAAACGTTAATCATAGTAACTCGAGCTAAAGTCGATTATGTATGCCTTCATTATATGCTAAAAAGCCAATTTATTTTACATCCAATATGAAATCCCCGCCCTTTTAAAACACGCGCTTATATCTATGTGATTCGTCGATTTCCGCAGATTATTTTCACTGTTTAGAAATTCGTAAATTTTACTGATAAATATACTGATGCAGGTGATTTGCTTTCTGTTTTAAATTTATATTTATTGATTTTGATGTTTCTGTTGTCATGACTTGATTTACGGAGTAATGGCGGATGATTTGGACGTGAATAATGGATCGGCAAAGGTGCCCGATTTTTTAATATTTACACAATTCTTGATAGTTTGCCAAAAAAGGCAGAAGAGCTAAAAAAGTGGTTAAAGATAAAGACGATCCGATTTCTAATGAGTTTGATCTACCTAAAGCTAGTGATATAAAGGTAGGTTTTTTCGTGATTCATGTGAATAAGAAGACCACTGACCTTCCGGAATGTAAAATAGGCGGTTGGAATGAGGGTGAAACTTCGCACAGCGTGTGGTTTGGAAAGTATATATACATTTTAGAGTGATGGTCTTTACTCATAATTTTTTCTTTTTCCAGAAGGTATGTACTGTACATATATCTCAACAAACACTTTCACAGAGCTGATGAAGATACACTAAATTTCTGCAAAGCTTTACGTAGGGAAGGTAAAATTATTCTTTAACTTTATGATGAATACAATCTGGAAAATATCTTTTAGAATCTGATGAAGAACTCGGTAATCTACTATTTATGTGTTTACAAATAAACAGAGATACCGATTGTTCCTGATTTAATTAGTGTTGAGGACCAGTCTACCGCATTTCAGGGTGCAGTCGCACCGAGGTACATGAATTTTCTCTCAATTGTCTTATCAGTTTCTTGTATGTGTTAGCAAATATTAATGAAATTATGAACGTTAAAATTTAATTTGTAATGTATCTTTTAGGACTAGACTCTTTTGATATTTTGACTCATGAAAGTTAAAATGAGTCTGCACCAGCCTTTATTTTTACCACCAAATTATTTATTCCCATTCCTTTCGAGATGTTTTGTGTAGGTAAATTTTTCCATATTGTGGGTGATTTTCACATGGTCATAAAAAAATTGTCATCAAAATAGTATAAGAACAGCGTTTGTCGTCGATTACTGATGTAAAAAGTACTGTTGTGTATATTTTGCGGAGTTCACTTGGTCATTTGTTAAGCTCTAATGCCTTAGTGTTAAGAGCTGAATTGACTGAAAAGAAGTTTATTAGATCGAGTATTGGTCCCTATCACCAACTTTTTGTACTGTTCTTCCTATATATCTAAGCTTACTTCATATAAATATTATGCTGGATGGGCTTCTTTTGATTGTGAAATGGGTAATTTTCCGTTACTTCAGCTCTCAATTTCAATAAGTTTACAAAGCAATCGATGCCACTTGCTACTTGTATATGTTAATGTTGATGATTGCTTGATGGGCGTTATGAATAGGTTTCGCAAATAGATTTGGTAGGGGATTTTGTGATTAGTTTAAAATAGCTATTTGTAGAAGGCGAGTAGGGTAGAAGTATTAACATCAAGGTTGCGGGACAAGATGACGAGTGACAATTCGAAAATAAAACGGGGTAAAAAGATGAAATTATTCTAGTTAATGTTCATAAAAAATTCGACCATGAACTAAGTAGCAACATTTTATACACTACATATTGTATTGGATTGTGTAAATGAATCAGGGATCTTATCGGATGAAAATTTGAGGTAGTCCAGTGTTGTACTCAAATGTGTTCTCCATTATGAGTTCTAAGGTCTGTTATGCCATCGACTGATCAATCCATGTTATGTTAACTTGTAAGGTGGACCTACGCTATTAAAAATTATACTAAACTACCACACTGTCAGATTACGTCTACAAACAAAGTGGCAACACGCTGACATAATATAAGATAGAAATCCAATGCACTTTGGCGTCGCAAGATGATCCGGTGTTCACTGCTTATTTAGGAAGAACCTTATATCAAAATTCCCTTAGATATGAGAATTGGTCAACTTGCTAGTCGAATTTACTCAATGGGTTTTGTACAAGCGCTTAGTAGACTTATTAATTCCCTTGTCTGTACCATGCAAAAATATGTTAAAACTTCCTTAATATTAGAACTATTTTTGATATTTTTAAATATCCCGGTAAAAGTTTTGACAGGCTTATCAGTTAACATGACGGAACGGTAATAAGAGAAATGCAGTCTGTTTTCACCGAGCCGAAGTGTAATAATACAAAATATGTTTTTTAGTCTTTAAATAATCATGTCTAATAGAGAAACATGGCAACGATTCTTATTAATTCTTCATTGAATATTTTAACAAAGAATATAGTTTTTAAAAGCTTGATTACTTTTAAGAATCAACTATACTACTAAAGTGCAGAAATAACCAAAATGTTGGTGGTGGGACCGCAGTATCAAATCTTAACCGATTCAATCATAAAAACCTCTCCCAGCATATTTATCATTCACCTAGCTGGTTTTTAGGTACATGAGGTCGTATATAATCTCATGACCAAAACATACACTAAAATGGATTCGTACTGAGTTGTTTCGGGTTAATAGATACATGTTTATCTGTCAGTGAACACAACATATGCTTTCCACTGACTTCTACTTAATGATTTGATAAACTACAGTTGGGCCATGGGTTTTGGAGTTAATTTTGAATCAGATGTAATCTACTTATTTGTTACTGTTGATTGATCGATTTATGGGTCGGCAAAACTAATAAAGCTCATCTTCTCTTTGCTTCTATCTACTGCAATGGATATAAATTTTAGTTATAGTAGCTGAGAGGATATCTAAATTCTTGAACCTGAGCAACATCGTGCAATATATATTTAATATTATACATATCTATTGTTACATATGTTAAAATGTATAAGGCTAGGTTGAGCTAATATGTTAAACAAAAAAGATAAAATTTTTCAAACAAACAGTGTTGATAAACGACACGGATCGTTGAGCCTTAAATTTTATTCCTATTCAAGCTCATCTTTATCGGTAAAGTATATCTTCTGAGCTTGTAGAACACACTTACTGGTCACGTATTACATTGATTCATGGATCTATTTCAATTTTTACACCACTAGGCCTTGGCCACCAAAGCAGAATTGTTTGAAAACTGGCCTTTAAGTACTAATGTGTATACACTCGGATGGATACACGGTAACCAGTGATGTTGTATAGCAGGGTTAACTGAATAGTTTGGATTTAAACTAAGAACTTGATTTTGAGTTTTCATTGTTGAAAGGAGTAAAAGTAGGATAAAAAACTTCTGAGCGTTTCTCTTCAGTTAACGGGTAAAAAAGTGTCTTTTCAAGTAGAATAAGGAAATGTAGCTTTTTTTAATGTATGTACATAGCTGGACTTAGACATTTTTCATGTAATACCTTTTATATTTGGTGAATTCATGTAACTTATCTGATCCATTTCTGTGGTTTCGTTTGCTTTAGTGTAGTCATAAACAAAATTCCAGCGTACTGTGAACTTAGTCAAGATCTACTCAATCATGGCACTCTTCAGTTATTGGTAAGATAACATTTTTAAAGTGAAGAAAGTGAACTTTTTAAAATACTTTTTATCATAATCTATTTTTTTTAGGACGGTGATATTAACTTGAGGGTTTTGACGAAACATTTATTCTCTGAATCTGAATTGAAAGAAGTAAGAGTATAATTATTTGAACGATGTAAAAATCTTTTTAATCGTCATAGATTGATGAAACATGGAGTTGGGACTTTTTGTTCTCTGAATTAAAGACACTGAAATAAGGTTGTAAACTAAACTTATCTATATATTTCATGTTAATAAATCAAACCTTTTGTAACAGAGATACAAAATATCGAAATAATATTCACTTTACAGTGCTAATTTTGGCTTTTACGTAACATTTAGCACGGGATATACTATAAACAAAAATTAGCTAGTATTATTGGTCAATGGAAGTTACAAACTAACCAAGTGAAGCGTAATCAAAGATTCAACTTATTATTTTGGGGTCTGCTAGCTAGTCGTTATTTATGATTGGAGACCTTGGATGACGTGGTTCAATATCAATCGCAGTAACGCATGCCTAGTAATTTCCTTTCTCACTTCAGATTTTGACTTAAGCGATCGTTTTCATGCATTCTTATTTTTGAACCGTGCTTTTTATCCTATTTTCACGAACAGTGATACTAGCTTTTGGGCTTATTAGATTTTTTCCTATTGGTTTTGTCTTCTTGTATTGGTATAGAACTTCGCAGATTAGGTCTATGGATATTTGGTCTAGATCTTATGTTGTTTATAAATGACTGATTAAAAAAGGAGCTTTTTGAGAAGCTTAAATAACATCAATAAATTATCTATCAGCGAAAATGTTGAAATAAAAACTGACAAAGGACAGACGTTTGAAATTTACTAACAGTAACTTCATAATGGTGATAATATTGAACGTATTTTATCTCTGATTGAGCCAAAAAACAAACAATTATTGACCGTAATAAGATGGTTCACTAAGTACTTTTTTCAACCAACTTTGCTTTTATTTCCTGAGTGTTTCAATCTTCGTCTTTGCAATTTAATATTTTTCTGTATTTGTTTGAAATCTCTACCAATAGTGGCTAAATCTAGCAATAAAATTAGCCCCAGAAATATAAAAACCATAATGAACATAATTGAGGATAATTTTGCTGCAGATTCGGCTTCTTTTGGTTCAGTATAAATTCGTCCAGTAAGACTTACAGGGACTTTCTCAATTCTTGCTATAAAAAGTGGATTTAAAAAAAACTTTTACTAGATTAATAAAATGGATGATTGAAATAACAGTAGATAGTATAATTAGATTTTTCTTTCCAACTAACAGTAGAAATGATTGGCCATTGCAGTTTGGTCATTAAATCTCGTAACAGACTATCTATTTTCAAGTCTGCTTTTTACGAGCTCAAGTAAGACGTCGGATTAATATTAAAGCTAATACTTTAGTTACTACACTGGTCAAACTGAGTCCTCTGTGATTATCACGAGAATTTTTACCCTCTCCTGTGGACTGGAACGATCAGTGGTCGAGACTATTCAGACAGGATTATACTCGATTCCCAGGTTTTAACTAAGATCTCAGTCAATTTAGCTGCTAAAACTGGACCACCATCCCTGAAACTCCCGGGATTCGGTTCATCAGACCCTCCTGATCTCCCTCCATTTACATTACTTGTAGTCTTCACAAGCTCATTAAGATTTGAAGGGCTTGCATCAATTCACCATTCAGGTTGACTGGAGATAGTGGGTAACTGCGGTGTGGTTGAAGGCCAGTTGAACTGGTCCCTCAAGTGTTCTGCCCTTCGATTTAATCCCATGGATTGGAAGTGAGTAATAGTCCCGTCCTTTCCCGAGATGGTTGTTAGTGTCCGTTTCTTCGAGAAGTCTGAACAGTTGTCTTCTGTTATCCTTGACTGCTGCATTTTCTATCATTTCTACTGTTTTTGCTACTCACGATCATTACATATGCTTTTTGTCAGCCCACTTTTAAGCTTCCTCCGCTCCACATAGTGTTCTGAGCCAGGAGCGAAAAGTTTCCAAGCACCAACCAGTACCGTAAATACCCTTAGGACCCATTCTTTTTTCTCAACCTTTTGGTTCAGGTTACCTGCAGATACCACTGCTGTTTCCCCAGCTTTTTTCATATCATGCTAAGCTACCTCAGGGTGAATATCACTTTCACGGTTAACTAACTGCCGCTCTAGTTATTCCTGAAATATATTTTTTACTTTTTCGTTTTTAAGTTGGACTCTTTTTTTGTATATATCATTCCTAAAACATCTATTTATCATGATTGTTTTCCTTTATACGTTTTGTCTCTCATTTAATTCCCTTTTACATTCACACACCACTGACATGACTGTCAGGTTTTGTACCCTTTTACTCATATTTATAAATTGCTTTGTATTCTTGTTGTATGTATGGTGATTTCTCTAAAAAGAAGTCCCAATACATATGTAATCTTATTTGTCATTTATAAGATGTATTCACTTTAAAATGCTGAACATTCAAAGAATCGTTTTAATTACTCTAATAGTTATTAAGTATTAAGTACTGTAACACAAATGAATACTAACCGAGGAAAGAAGTCGCAAACTGATGAATTATTGCCTTTCTAATTAATACATTTTTATCACAGGTAAACACTTAGACTTGACAGGCTATTTTATCATCAAATATCGATAAAACAAATAAGTGTTGAGTCAGTGAACGGCAATAAAGTCATCAATATGTTTCGAAAGGCCACAGAGTTTTCCTATATAAAGTTATTCGACGAAAATGAGTTATGGATAAAATAGAATACCTAAGGGTAGCTTACTTCCCGCTGTATTTTATATGGTCTTTGTTCCATAAACTGGAATAAAACTGTGGCTTATTACTGATAGCTACAATTTCTTAGTGTATACCTTTCGAACTAATTATCGACTGCAAGAAACGTTGTATGATTAGTATTCAGTGAAATATACTATTACTGGTAAACAGTGAATCACTCAAATTTTCATTTGTTTGGAAAAATACAAATGTGCTGTTAATTATTAATTCAAAAGCCTATTGGATCTAAAGAGGGAAAATTTAAAAAAACAACAACCAAAAATTGATTACCAATACAACCAATTAGTTGTGGAGTCCACTGGCCGTAATTACCACACGTGATATTTAATTCGGAATTTTGATGAATACTTTCATAGCCGTCTTTGCAAAAGTATCGAATCACTGTTCCACGTGGATATGGAACTCCACTGTGTTTCGTTAAATTCATCACGTCTATGTTACTTTTCATGACAGTAAAATATGGTTCCATATTATAATCCGGTTGTATTACGGCTTGTTCATATAAACAAGTAGCCTCTAAAATTTAAAAAACGAACATATAATTTTAGAAATCAGACTCTCGATGTTAGTATCTAAAAAAACAAATAAAGTACAATGGGGGTTAGTTAGTCAATAGAAACCAATATAATCTCCACTTTATTTCATTAGGATCATCATCGGGAAGCTAATGGATACACATTATATACATGTACATGTTGCAAAATTATCATATGTAAGCATGTTGAACGGTTTTGGGAATTCATGATTAGTGAGTTCATGTAAATGACATGTTAACACAACTTTGATAGAAAAACAGCGAACTTCTGTTTTTTTTTAGCCGAAGAGGTGAATGCGTTAGCATCACAAAAGAGAGATGAATAAACTTGAACTGAAACCCACTTTATTCATTTGGTACTATAGTAATCCATCTTTTGACGTCGCCTCATTACCTCTTAGAATTAAACTTACAGTCAAAGTACCAGTGATAATCATTTTTGAAGCTATCTGGTGTGGTTTAGACTTACAAAAGTCTTAGCAATTTAAACAAAAAGCAAATGAAACAGTTACATATTTTAGCTAATAAACGCAGACTGTATTACTAAGCGAAAAGTAATTTCATTGCATTTTGCTATTCTCATCTTTAATTATGTTAAATGCGATTTGTACATGTTCCCAACTTAATTTCTTTTCACTTAGCTTCTTATCTTTCGGAAGTTTTGACTTAGTTGAAATCTGAAGTTGCAAAATAATTACCTTCCGAAATTTTTATCCTTAACGCTGTGAATAATGCGTATACTTATAACCGTTCATAATAATTAAAAATAATACTTTCAACTGTTTCATTTATTTAAAAAGCCCATGGGATAAGTACTCACTCTTGTTGGTGTTTGAGTTGAGTTAACTAATAGAGCTAAAACAATATTGATTGACTGAATCACTATATATATTCGTTCATGTGCACCTAAAGTATAGGCTAGAATCAAGTAGTAAGGGAAAAAAGAAACAACGAATTTTCAGACCTTAAAACGCTATCGAAAGAATTGAGGAAGTGTTCTTAGTTGTCAGTGAGGATTTTTTAACCATAGAGTGGATACTAGGAATGATCTGCTGGAAATTATTATGGATTACAAAATATTTTTGGCCAATACAACTAGTATGTTCTCGTATACTGCTAAATGGCGTCATACCTCTGCAATTCAAATAAGTCATGTTAAAACCAGCTACAACTAGTATGGATGTGTAGATAACTGGCGTTCTTTTTAAAGCACCTGTCTGTATTTTGCTATTGTTCGAGTATTTCCCAAATGCATCTTTCTTCTCAATGGTCAGCAAATTCATCTCCCTAAACAGTTCAATGAGAAGAACTGTTTCTGTCTATCAATAGAGGATACAAATTTACAGAACGTTGGTTACAAATGTCTTCAAAATATTGTTGTAGATTTTTTTTAGACTATTAAAGAGACTAGTTGGGATCCGGCTGTAGACGTCCTTTGAATCTTGTACGAACGCCGTGTTGCTTTCGGGAAGATCTATTTTATTGTCCTGATCTTTGAAGTCACATAGTTTTCCATTGTTCATAAAGTTTAGTGTCATGTTACAGATAGGACATTTCTATGTTCCTCACTGTGTCAAGCTTTGTTCGTACAGTTATTGTGTATTATCCATTTTGTTGATCAAATCTTTAACAGTTGTGATATTTGCATCCTTGAATCTCTCAAGACAATTATTGTATATGATTAGGAGTGTTGGTTTAATTTAAAACTGCTAAACTAGAAGTGTGTAAACAAACCATTAGGTTGGTGATTGTTTATATGATTCATGAAAGTTGTAAGCTACATGGGAGTAAAGCTGGAGACGATAGTTTGGGTTCGTTTTAGATAAGGAACAATGTGACTACTGATAGTTAAGTGATGTGGGTGTACTTTTTTCTGCATAATATTAATTACTTTTTTAAATGCGACATATTATGCCATTTTTTATGTATCTTTGTTGTGTATATTATATAGAGAGAGCATGGTATACTCTATTATTACTGAAACA